AAAAAAAAAGATGATTTGAATCTTCTTCATATTTTTCTGTATTTTTTAGGTTCTCTACAGTCAATACAGGTGACTTTAGTCACCAGGCCAAGGCCATATGTTCTCAGTATTAATTGGACGCTTGCCCTCTCTGAATCTGTGAAACTCCCCTCTCTTGAGTGGTCACTGCCCAAGTCAAAGGCATCAAAAAGGGCAAAAACAGAGGCAAACTTCAAAGTGGGTGCCAACTCCCCTCGACTGGTAGCCACCTGGGTCATTATTTTCAAGAGGTTCCCTAATTGGGGTCCTCACTCCCCAGGAGAGAAGGCTGGACTCATCCAGCAACATCCAGCAGAGAGAAGGGTTGATGGAGGGCCAGGGGGGTGGTGTTTGTCCAGGTGTTCTGTGTGTTTGTAGAGGGGGGGTGTGTGTGGTCTGTGTTGAGATATGTATGTGGTGTGTCAGCTGCCCAGTGTTAGAGGGAGCTTTGTGGTGGTCAGACTGAAATCCCTTACTAAGTAAGGAAATGAGATTAGGGAAGCAGCTTCCTGGCGGCTTTCCAGAGAGCCACAACCAGACCTCCCCACCAGACCTGACCTTTGGGCTTCACTCGCCTTGGGCTGACTCACTCGATAAAACAGGCAGCGAGCAGCAAAATCTCACCCAGCATGACCTCCCATAACCTTTCTTCACCAGACCTGACCCAAACATCCCGTTTCCTCTAACTCCCTTTCTCTCTTCCAGTCTTTCTCCCTTCCAGTCTTTCTCCTTACCTGGCTTTCTCCCTTCCCCAAGGAGAAAACCAGTAACGCGAGCCGAGCCGGTCAGCTGGTGCCCAGTAGGTGGCAGTGTGAGCAAGGGCCGAGTGGACTTGCCAAACCTGGGGAAGAACACGCTTCTGGAATAGTGTATTAGCTGTCTCTGAGGCACTGACAACCCACAAAATGGACAAAGAAGACTGGAAGGCAATATTCCAAGATATTAAAAGCTGTGTTCAGTAAAGGGTGGCGTCTTAATCCTTTTAATAGCTGCATTTTCTGTTTCCTACAAGGGAAAGTGAGTTTTCCCAGTAAAAGTCATTAAAATAGTGATAAATTATTTCTGTGAAATGCTTGCAAAGTTTGCATTCAAAAAGATACTCGCAGAAGCATTCAGAAATCTCATTGTTTATAGTTGTATGTCATCTAACCACGCAAATATATAAATGTGTAAGACAAATTTATAACAAAAGAATCCTGAATACCTCTGCAGGACAAATATATTTTTAAAAATATTTTTAGCTTTATTTGGTGATGGGAAACCCGTGGGATTACAATTGAGATAAAAAAAATGTGCAAAATGATGTAAAAATAAACTTTTTAATAAAAAAAATATTTTTAGCTTTTTTTAAAAAAACAAAAAAAAATTGATAGATTTAGTTTAACTGGAGGCATACCACTAAATCAGTGGCATGTGCAACCATTTCAAGGTGACAGTATTTTCTTTACCTTTCACTTGTTCAGTGTGAAGAGGATTAACACAAATATCTAGGGGTTATGCTACTCCATTTCAGACCTAAACTTTAAATCTCAGCCACACTCTAGTATGTCATAACTTTTCTAAAAACTCATCAAAACAAAATGTTGGGGCCTCCCTGGTGGCCTAGGGGTTAAGTCTCAGCACTATCACCTCTGTGGCCTGAGTTCCATCCCTAGCCACTGACATGAGGGGTTCACTTACCTGACATGAGGGGTTCACCTAGTTGCTCTGGCCCCCAAAAAGCAGAATGATTCCTCTTCAATGTGTCTGATGACCCAAGTGGCTGGTTCAAGGCAGTGGCCTTCTGGTGCTTTTCCAGCAGGATGTTCCTTCCTGCATCTTTGCTTGGACCTGTGGTTCTCGGCTGGGTGGTGGCCGCATGGGTCACCAGCTTCCGCTTGAGATTCACTGAGGCGTGGGAGAGATATATTAATTGTGGAATTTCTTTTCTAAACTTTAACTGAAACCACCAAATTTGTGATTGACTTAAGTTTATGCATGTGTAGAAATAACAGCCAAGCTGCCTCAGGCAGGTCACAGCCCCAGGGAAAGCTCTCATTCTACTTATCACAGATGATCTGTTCTCTCTTCTTCCAGGAATGACCTTTCTAAAAGTGACAGATAAGTGACTGAGTCAGAACTCTAATGTCAGACTGTGAAATTCTGCATCTTCAAAACAGTACTTCAAACGTTTTCTCTTTCCTAGGGTGCATGTTTGTGACATAAAGTGATTTCTCAGCTAGGATTTAGTCATACCACAGTTATGTCAGAACTTTTCTAAAACTCATCAAAACAAAACACAGACTTACTTCAGTTTTTAAAAAAAAAACAAATGCTATATAGCATTTTTATGATGGAAAGAAGCTTTTGGAAAGTTGGAAGTAATTTCTAAAAACAGAGCAGTATAAAAAATTTGATTTCTGCCATTTGAACTAGAAGCTCATAGGAAATGCTCATTTAAGCCATAGCGTATTCATGTAAATTTACTCCTGGAATCAGGAGAAAAGGAATATCGAGTTTGCATTTTATTACAAGACTATGGACATTCCTTCTACCCCTTCTACCACACTGAATATGCAATGCGGCTGACTCACAATTCATATATATATACGTATGTATACGTATGTATATATATATATATATATGTATGTATATATATGTACACACACACAGTTATTCATTTTAAGACAATGTTTACTTGCCCCCTCAGGCATAGATCCTATAGAATTTCCTCCCCAATCACCCATGTACCACTATCATCCCTCCTTCCCTTCCCATCCTACCCCCTCCACCCCCCCCCATATCTCTGGTTTATAATTGTCTATTTGTTTCATTTTGTATTGTTGTCATTTCCCCCCCTATGTCTTATTTGGTTCTCCTATATTCCTCCTATAAGTGAAACCGCTTGATATTTTTCTTTTTCCTTCTGACTTATTTTGCTGCGACTCACGATTCTGACAGAAAGCCTCATCAGAGCCGTCAGGACACTGCTCCACTCCATCACAAGCCAGCGTGATGTCGATGCAACAGCCATCGTCACAAAAGAAGTGGTAGCGTGAGCAAACGCCAGAGCACCCTGTTGAGAAACAAGTCCCAAGTCACGGGAGTGCAGGGAGTTACAGCGTCCACCGAACACGAAGAGCAGACTAAGAGCAGACTAAATCTACCATGAAGGCGCTCAGGCAGAGACGCAGCCCATCTGCAAGCAGCTGAGAGTCTGAGCTGGAGCAGTAGATTCTGGAAAGGTTAGGGGTCTCTTCTTCACCCTCCTGACTTCACTACCAGGGATGGATTTTGGTCACAGGGTCAAGCTGATGTGGTCAAGAGGTGGACACAGAGACACAGCAGCTCTGGTCCTGCCCGTCCAGACCTGGGTAACTTCCCTCGGTGCCCTTCCAGCCTGCAGTCCTTCATCCCAGTCTCCACTCAGCAGGCCACCCATTGACATTACACACCTGCATGACCATGTTTTGTTATTTTTTATTAAAGACTTATTTATTTATACAAGAACCTGGGTACAGGAAAGAGGTGTGGGGGGTGAGAAGATTCACCAGAGACAGAGTAGGGAGAAGAACAGGCAGGTATATTGAAATATAATGCTGAGGGGAGCGGTGGGGAGACAGGAGAGGTCTTCTGTGCCCTTTGGGTCAGCTCCCTGACCAGGTATCAAACTCCATGCTGCAGCAGCTGCCTATAGCTTCATAGGGCTGAGACTTAACCCTTGCACTACCAGGGTGGCTATGTTCTGTACATTTTATACATGCTGTGTATTACATTCTTGACTCCATAATAAGCATTTTTACTGAGATTAACTTTGTAGTATTGATCTCTATTTGTGGACTACTATCAAAAATTAATAGAATCTTTAGCTAATATTTGGTATAAATTATTTCTTCAAATAATGAATTTCTCTCCCTTTTAGATCTCTTGGGAATTTTAAATCCACAGTGCTACATGTGTTTTCTTGAAAGGCCGTCCCTCTTACTCCAGGTTAAAACAACTTAAGACTTGGCTACTTAACAGCTGAGTTACTAAGATTTGTAAGGCGTCAAGCTGGAAGTAGGCCATAACATTTCACAGAGACAGAATGGACTAGGCGATCTCTCAGGGCACAGGAGAGTGTTAAGTGAAGACGTCCACTGAGACGAGGGGCTGAGTGTAGCCTACACATCCGGGAGCGGTCTTGGACACATTCCACTGAAAAGCAATTCCCACTGAAGGAAAGGAGTTCCATTTGAAGAGCTATCTTGATCTAGCAGGGAGAAGGCAAGGAAACGAAATGGTAGAAGTTGCTGAGAAGGAAGGAAGAAGCTGTAGAAAGGAGAATTAGGGGAAGGAAGGAGCTGGGGAAAAGAAGGGAAAGGGACAGCACAAATTCACAGGCACCGCTCATTCTTCCGCGCCACCCAGCGGGCAGACACAAACCCTCCCAGGGTCCTGTGGCCTGGTGGTTCGGAAATAGTCATCTTTGTAATATATGTAATCTGTCTGGATGAGTGCGCTCCAAATATTTTATTTATTATTTCTCCCCCCACCCCCAAAGATTGATTTATTTATGCACACAAGAACTGGGGTACAGACTGGAAGTGTAAGAGTGAGAGCATTCTCCAGAGACAGGGTGGGAGCAGAACAGGTGGAATGACTGAAACCCACTGCTGAGGGGAGCAGCAGGGAGACAGAGAGGTCTGCTGTGCCATGTGGGTCACTCCCTGGCGGGAGATGGAGCTCATGCTGCAGAGGCTGCTGAGAGCTTTATATTGATGAGACTTAACCCCTTCGCCACCAGGGAGGGCCCTCCAAACGTTTTAGACCATGCATCCTGATCAATAATAGGTGAACGTGCATCTTCAATCTGAAAATAACATGCATGCACTATTGTACCAACCCATTGTGAATATTGTAAAATCTACTCAAACATTTAAAGAGGAGATTAAAATAAATAAAAACCTAAGTGTCTGTGTCTGGACTACCTCTGCAGGATTCTATCTGGAGAGCACCGATCTGGATCATACTGGAAGTATTTGATGGCTTATTTGAATAGATTATCTTCCCCAAAGTTTAAAAACACGCAAACCAGCCTCTACATCCCAAAAATGAGCCAAGTTAGCGTCCCGCAGGCAGGGCTTACATGCTTAACTCTTTACCCCAGAAGGTGCTGCCCTGGGCTCCCAACAGCACTGAGTCATTTTCTGCCAAAGCAAAATCTACAATAAAAGAGGGCACACACTGGCCTCCACGCCTCCATTTCGACATCTCCACGTGGTGTCTGAGTCTGACTGACTTTAATCCACAGGCTGTTAGCCCAGTCTAACCAGGGAGTGATTCCCAGGAGGGTTAGTACTAAGCCATTCTCTTTTTATTTTCTATATAAACATTCAAGCACAAAACAGGAAATCCTAGTGGCCTTTCAGTATTCAAGTAGTTCAATCACTTCCTTTTCTTGTTAACCATGGACACAACTGGTGATTCATCTCTGGAGTCCTGGAAAAGTCAGTGGAAAGTGACCCTTCAGGGCAAATGGGCTGGAGAGGTGAGAGCCGCCTGCAGGCCCTGCGGCTCTGGGGCACCTGGGCGACTAAGACAGTCCTTCCCTAATGCTGCAGGGGGTGGCAGGGCATTGGGCTTGGGCTTGCCCCGGACTTGGGAGCACGCAGAGGACAGGCCTGGAAGGAGACGTGGAGCAGCCCATGGATGAGACACTTGCAAGGCTGACGGCAGCACCGTGGGCGCATTTACACTGTGATTTTGCTCCTTTTGTAAGACTTGCCTGGCTCCTTCTGCCCCTTTGCTGTGATTCCTGCAGAAGGTGCCTCAGACCTGTGTCAGGCCTTCCAGCCTCGGTGGCCCAACTCTGAGCCAGCCCTGTCTGGTGGGCATTTACTCACAAGGGAATGGGTAACTTTGGGTGTTGCGTTGGGAAGCTATATCCTTTCCCTTCTCTTTATGCACACTAATCCAAGTAAAGTTCTTCTCTACTAAAGGTCTTAGAAAAATACCGATACAGGTCAAAGTGCAGCACCATGGGCCCTCCCTGGTGGTGCAGCGGGTTGGAGCTCTGCACTACGAAGCCAAGCCAAGCCGTGGCTGCTTCAGTGCGAATTTGATCCCAGCCCCGGAGCTGACCCACATGGTCTAACTCACAGACCTCTCCTGTCTCACCGCTGCTCCCCTCAGCAGTGCACTTCGTCAGTCTGCCTGTTCTGCTCCCCAATCTGTTTCTGATGAATCCTCTTGCTGCCCCTGCACCTCTGGCCTGTACCCATTTCTGTATGCAAAAATAAACAAAAACTTAAAAAAAAAAATTGCGACACTATGAAGCTAGCTGCAGCCGCTATGACACAGGTTCGATCCCAACCAGGAAGCTGAACCCCATGGTGCAACAAACCTCTCCTGTCCTTCCTGCTGCTCCCCTCAGCAGTGTACTTCATCAATACATCTGTTCTGCTCCCCATTCTGTCTCTGGTAAATTCTCTCACCACCCCTGCAACTCTGGCCTATACCCAAGTTCTGTATGCAAAAATAAACAAAAACTTAAAAAAAAAAATTGCGACACTATGAAGCTAGCTGCAGCCGCTATGACACAGGTTCGATCCCAACCAGGAAGCTGAACCACATGGTGCAACAAACCTCTCCTGTCCTTCCTGCTGCTCCCCTCAGCAGTGTACTTCATCAATACATCTGTTCTGCTCCCCATTCTGTCTCTGGTAAATTCTCTCACCACCCCTGCAACTCTGGCCTATACCCAAGTTCTGTATGCAAAAATAAACAAAAACTTAAAAAAAAAAATTGCGACACTATGAAGCTAGCTGCAGCCGCTATGACACAGGTTCGATCCCAACCAGGAAGCTGAACCACATGGTGCAACAAACCTCTCCTGTCCTTCCTGCTGCTCCCCTCAGCAGTGTATTTCAATAGATCTGCCTGTTCTGCTCCCCACTTTTCTCTAGTGAATCCCCTCAACCCCCCGCCCCGGCACCTCTGGCCTGTACCCCAGTTCTTGTATGTATACTAAATCTTTAAATATATGTATATATTGCAGACCCAAAGTCACCCTTCTACTGTAGCCCATTTCTGTGGGTCGTTCGTTGTGAATGGCGGGAAGGACTCTGTCCTCACCTCCCGGGGAGAAGGCTGCAGGAAGCAGTGTCACTGAGACATTGTCGGCACTCCTCTGCCCGGCGGTGTCCGTCACCGTCAGCTGGAAGGTGTACGTTCCTTCTTGCAGGTGGGACAGCTTCAGGGTTCCTGACCGAGGCACCTGTCACCGACACAGGCAGCATCCCATTCCATGAGGAGTCCAGCGCCCCCCTAGGCTGGCCCCTGGCCTGGGGCAGCCTCGCAGGCCACCCTTGAATTCTCATTTCAAACTCTAGGGGGCAAGCCCCTGACAGACAACAGTTCCCTCGTCCTTAGCAGCTGCTGTTCCAACCGTGTCCCTCTTCCCTAAGCTCCACACCTGACCTGTACCCCTGCCCTCCCACAGGTGACCTCACGCACCTGAAGAGAAAAATGAGGATGGTATTTACAGTCTTCTTCACTGCACCATCCCCGGTCCTGGGCATGCGCCTACTCACCCGTCATTTGTTGTAAAAACCCTCTTTTGACAACAACCAAAAATACAGCAGGAGAGCCCTTTCCTGCAGCCCCAAGCTGTGGGGCACCTCTTGCCACCCCCGTAGCTAATCCTTGACTCCCGCCCCTCCGCTTTAGTTGTTCTGGTATTAATGTCTATGCCCAAATGTTTCTTGCCCTATAAAACAAAACAATAACATTAAAACACCCTAAACTCCCAGATCTTCTCTAATCGGTCTTACTTCCTTTCCATTTCAACTTAACTTCTTGAAAGGGCTGTCCATGCGGGTGTGCTGGGCTCATCTTCCCTGTATCCTCTCCCCACCTTGCCCCCACAACTGTGCTGGTAAAACGCACTAACCGACCTAGCGTAGGTCACCTAGTCTCAAGGTCAATAATACCTATTAGACCCTCTATCCCTCTCCTTTTAATCTTAGCTTCCAGCCTCCACAATTGTGAGACAATAAATTTTTGTTGTTAAAAAAGCCACCAGGCTTGCCACCAGGTTTATTATGGCACCCAGCACAAACCAATACACACTTTGCCCACATCTACTGCAGTGTTTGGATGATGTTAATTTGCCTAAGCCAGAAAATATTCCTTAGAGTGGGTCCTGAAAAGGTCAGTAAAAAGTGATTTGCTTCCTGCAAGAGCCACTGTTTATATGGAGCCATGGGACCGCTGAGCTGAACAAGCCCAGTTCCAGCCCAGCTAAGCCTGGTCACAGACAGGATGGAACCTGACAGTCCTCACTCAGGGACCCAAAGATCTCAGGCAGACTTTCCATACTAGAAGGTTGCTTTCTGGCTCATGGAAGAATGAGTTTATTCTGTTGACATTTTCCTCTTTGTATTTTTCAAATTTTCTCGCTGAATTTTAAAGCAACCTGAGTCATTAAAACAAAGCAAGCATCTTTTTTCCTCGCGGTGTTTTTATATTCTGGGGAAGGGAATAAAAAGCAGGCCGAATCTCTCACCTCAAAGAACTGGAAAAAGAACAAAATAACCCAAAAGCCAGTAGAAGACAGGAAATAATAAAAGTCAAAGCAGAAATAAATGAAATGGAAGTTAGGGAAACAGTCCAAAAAAATTGGTGAAACCAAAAGTTAGTCCTTTGAAAAAATAAACAGGATAGACCACTAGCCAGGCTCACAAGAAAAAAAAAAAAAAGAGAGAGAAAGCACAAATAAACAGAATCATAAACAAAAGAGGAAAAAATCACAGCAGAAATCAAAAGAATAATCAGAGAATACTATGAACAACTATATGAAAACAAGTTCGACAATTTAGCAGAAATGGACAAATTCCTACAACTCTACAACCACCCAAAGCTAGACAAAGAAGAAACAGAACAACTAAACAAGCAAGGAAAG